CCCCCCCCCCCCCCCCCCCCCATCTCTCACGTTCTCTACGGCCATCGGTGACATCGCCGGGGTCGAGCGGTCCGGGCTCCCTCCCGCAGCTCCCCGTTTTCCCACCGCTCCTGCCCGCCTTGCCGCTCCTGCTGGCTGAACTAGATCTAGTCTTAACGCATGGATGGACGCGCCCGCTGGATTTTTGGCGCCCCCCGGTGTTCCTTTCGGTGAGGCGACGTTCGGTTACACGGGGGAGAAGGGGTTGTTGACTCTTTGGCTCCGGCGCACAAGAGGGTTTCGGCGTGTGTGTTTGTGTGATCTGGAAAGCCAATTGCACGTGCTGGACGCATAAGCGGATCCTCCCGTCAGAGTGATTCTGGTTACAGTAGCTCTTTGCAGTGGGTGTTTGGATATATTCAATAGCAGCCGTGTTCATCATTTTTTCTAGAAGAACGACTTTGCAACGTTATTTGTGTGGTAGAAGCAACTGTACCGAGAGTCGGCAATCCTAGTGGATAGGGCGCGTGAATCTGCCCACCTTGGTTTTTCGGGCAGGACCGGGGGATGTCACGTCGTATATTTGTCTGGCGAAGAGCTAGGCTCGATCACCGTTGTTGCGGAGGACGAACGCATTTGGCTTGTCAACCTGTTTTGCAAATCGTGGCCAAAAGCGTTTCTATCCCTCCCCAACCGCCCACGAATGGAAAACCGTACGATTGGAAAGGCTTCGACGAACTTATTACCCCCCGGGAACGCATGACTGAGTGATTTCGAGCAGCGGCAGCAGCAAACCACAACAACAGCCGCAACCATAACAACACAGACAGCCACAACGGCATCAAGAGACTACAGCAACAGCAACCAGCACCAACCAAAGAAGCACAAAGAGCGACAACGGCATCAAGAGTAACACGATTCCCCCGAGGGTACCTTCAAGATCGCCGGCTTGCGAGCCCGGCTCTTCCCCCCCTCTTTCCCCAGGTTTGTGTTGCTGGCGCACGATGGTGCCCGTCTTGATGAGGATATCCTCCGTGCTGTCTCTCGGGTTGTAGCAGATCAGAAGGCACGTGAGTATGAGGACCATGCCCTCGAGCACAAACACGAACGTAGAGTACTTCCTGGCCGGCCTGCACGCGGAGCGGTGGTCTGTTGTTAAATGTTGCCGTTGCCGTTGCCGTTGCTGCTGCTGCTATTGGTGGTGGGGGTGGGGGTGGGTTTTATGGTGCGGTACTGTGTGGTTGGCTTTGGTCATGTTCCATATTGTTTCCACCCAGGGTAACGAGAACACCTCGCATCCTCCTTCCCCGCTTCATTCCAACGTGACGCGATTGAGGGCACAACCCCTATGAGCGCCCTAACGGTGCCGCCTTTTCAGGTGACGTTCGTGCTGTACTTCAGGATTACCTCGTGCGTCAGGGAAGCCCACGTCCCTGTATCCTTCTTTAAAACTCGTAAATCGGTGTTCCCTTCTATCTCTCCCCACTGGTCAACTTCATCCCTCTAGAGGACGCGTGGTCACAGCAAAGGCGTGCAGAACATGAGGTTGCCCCCCCCCCTCGTGGTCCCTACCCTCCAATCTAGACTTCAGTGGGTTGGCGCTGTTGGCAAAGCGCTGTAAAACACGCCACCCCAAACATAGCCCCCATAGTATGCGCTACCNGACACATAGACGTGTTGAGTGAGGATAGCTGCATACTGAAACCTCACAGATGGATTGGTTATTGAGTTTGCCAGACACATAGACGCTCTGAGTGGGAATAGCTACATACTGAAACCTCATAGATGGATTGGTTTTTGAGTTTGCCAGAAACATAGACGATTTGAATGGGGATAGCTACATACTGAAACCTCACGAGTTGAGTGATGTTGGATAGT